TTTACATAAGAATTGGCTATTATATCGGGGATACCATGCTATCCCATGGTATATATACAGTGTATATTATACACTGTTATACAAATCATATTTGTTAACATGAGTTTGTAGTTTGTTAATTTTATTTTGTAAAATTTTAACATAAATTTTTGTAGAAAACAAGGGTTTGTAATTATTTACCGAAAGTTTTGTAAAGGCAATATGCATTTTGTAAGCATTTTGTTAATTTTAAAGGTTACAGATTATTTTGTTAATGCTTGACAAATTATTTCGTTAAAAAGTACGTGATTTCAAAACATTTCCCATTTAGAATACGCATTAACAAGTTTAACTAACTGTATGGTTCGGAACACAAACGAAATTATGATTCCTCGTCCTTATATAGGTTTTGGAATCATTCACTGCGGTGAGACGAAAGTAAGTGGTGCCATCTACCGTCTTTTGACATGTTCTTTATGTTATATGTTTAAGACGATAGATGGCACCACTTACTTTCGCCTCACCGCAGTGAATGATTTCAAAACCTTTATAAGGATGAGAAATCATAATTTCGTTTGTGTTCCGCACCATACAGCAACTCGGTACTGATGTTCCAATAAAGGGAAACAGCTGTTTATCGATGCTGGTGAGGAACACGAAAGAAATTAGGAAGAAAAGCGGAGACGAAATTATTACATTACCTACATTAAGTGTTGATAAATTATATTGTACCAAATGTCTTTATAATTTGATGATTTAGGAATTATGTTATTTAATTGTGTGTATGTTTTTTTTTAGTTCATTTAGCAACATTTCTTATCAAAGTTCTTTTCATTTAACTTCCGAGAGTTACAAAAAATACTTTTGTTACTGGGTCTACAAAAATGTTTGTAAAAATACAAAATTACAAGAATTATGGTTAAAATATTGAAATAGGATGTTGTTATTAAATCTACAAAATGTTTGTTATATAATTACAAACTACTTATTCAATTAGTTATCAGTAGGGATGGGATTTCAGTTATTTTACCTTTTTTCAACCGATGCAACTATTTGAAAACCAATAATGCCAAAATGTGTTTTAAAAGATTTTCTTTTATATGAACCTAACTTGTTTTCATTTTTTTTACCTTTTTTGGAGGTTTTTGCTTTAAACTACCTTTTTTATACTTTTGTTACCTATTTTTTTAACTTGTTTTCACCTTTTTTACCTTTTTTGAGGTTTTTGCTTTAAACTACCTTTTTATACTTTTGTTACATATTTTTTAATTTGTCAGTTTATTTTCACCTATTTGTTACCTATTATTACGTATTTTTACTTATTTTATTTTTTTGTGTTCTTTTTAAATTTTGCCCCAATATTTTATCCAGGGCGTGCAACTCAACGGTATAAAATTTTTTCTTATGGTCACAGACTCTAACAGTAACTTTCTTTACAGTTACCTTCTTTGTAGTGAGCTTATGTTCTGTCATAGAACTTCTGTGTAGAGATTGTCACTCAGTGAAACATAGTTTATTGCATAGAAATAGTTTATTGTGGGTATGTGTATTTGGGTATGCGGCTAAACAAAATTACGAAACGTAAACTTTTAATGTTTTTTTTTTTACCTAAAATGCTGTTTTTTAACCTAAAATGCTTTTTTTTAGTACCTATTTTTTAGTTTTTAGTACCTAAATACCCCATCTTTAGTTATCAGATTACAGTTGGTTGTAAACTTAACATAAAGTTATGTGGACTTGGATTAACATAAAATGTAGTTAGCATTTAAATGCAATTGGTTAAAATTAACTAATATTTTTTTACTGTGTAACAAGGTATAAGTGAAAAAGCAGCCACTAATAACTGTAGTATTTAGTCATTTTTGACTAATTCATTTTTAGAGAGTGAGAAGTGATATCTCGAAACATAATTCAGTAACTCCACCGGGAGTTTTAATGACCTGAATAAATCGAATTTGTAGGTGTTCGTTTCCCATTTAAAGCAAAATTATAGCTTGTTACTGCCACCTCTCCCGTGGCATCGATCAAAAACGATAAGGCGAATACGTGAGCGCCATAAAATGAAGAGAACAGTCTCCGGAGTCTCTCCGGTTACTCGCTGAAGCGCGGATGATAACAACAACAAATGAATCCACTTACAATTCAACCTGGCAGAGATTAATAAAACATCATTTTTATTAATATCTGCCAGGTTGAATTGTTAAAGTTTAGTTTAATATTTATAAGGCACGGTGTGCCTGAACAAGTCTCAGCTCACATAAAAATGTCAACCAAAACGGATTGTATTTTTGGAATATGCATCTATTCCTCACTCCAAAACCATATTTTTCAAAATCCTAGCTAGATCTCTTTTTTATTTTTTGCAATTTTCTGGATTTAAAAAAAAAACAAGAAACCTGAATATCGGCTTAATTAAATTAGATTTATAACATGATTGTCATTCTATATAATTGGTAGATTCATTTTTAAGTGAGTATTGATCTATTTAATAAATATTAAATAGATCAATACTTACTCAAAACTGGATATCCGTTGGGTGAATAGGATAATATCGGAATGAAACTAGAGAATCTTTAGTTTAAATTACATTTTAATTTCTGTAGCTATTCAAAATACGGCTGCAAGAAAAAAGGTGCAATGGTGTAATTACCTTATTAACACGCTTACACAGCTTTAAGCAGTTTTTTAAACAAAGTAGGCCATGCTTCAGCGAAAAAACAACTTATACGCAGTAATTTGTTATCAGTGACAGTTATTAGTATCTATTGGTTATAGAGAATTGTTCTCTCGATATTTTGAAGTTTTTGAAATAAAAATGACTACAAACGCAATATTTAAAGTGAACCATGAAGAAAATAGAGGTATAGTCTGTGCCCATATCCGAACTATCCGAAATATAGTCTAAGCAATATCAAGTTTTTAACTGCAATTTGCGGTACATGCATGCATACTCTTTGCGCAAATTAAAACACACAAGATGGTAAAAATGCCAGACTGTGAAAAAGAAAATGTTATTACAAACTCTACTAGGAATATCTTAAATGAGGTGTGTGCGTGCAGAATATGCACAACAGCAAGATTCAAAGAAAGGTAACACGAGGAAGGGGAAATACAAAAAAACAAGGAAAAAAGGGCCCAGGATACCGAAAATAAAATTATTTTGGGCAAAATCTGTTTCACAAGAGTTGGTAAAGGAAAAAACATATAAGTATGTAGGAATTCAGAAAGACATGGAAATGTCGTTAATATTATAAAAAAATTTACGCCGAAAATTCAAGAACAAGTCGTTTCTTGAGTTCTCAAGACCCGAGTATTAAAATCTAATAATTCATCATCTTCACGCAAAAATGCTTCTATTAGTCTAACGAAGATTGTATTAAATTTTTTAACGGTGCTTGGTTGGGCACATGGTCTGAGCAGGCTGGGGAGTCGATCCTTCGCGAGTTTATAAAATACTGGAATAAGTATAAAATCAATTTACTTGATTATGGTGAACATTTAAAAAAAGGTTTAGTAGACTTTAGTTCTAACAATTTGTAAATGATTCATGGTTTTCTGTAAAGTAATTTTAGGTATCATTATTGTTTAATAAATTAAATTTTTAAAATTTTTTTGAATCCGCAAAATAGGCCAGAAACACTTCTTCCTTAAAACTTTTTGTCCCTTTGTTGTTGCACCAGTTTTCAAAATGTTTAAATTGTTTATCATATTTTTGACAGGATTTCGCTGGTTATAAATTTTCATTTACAGTTTTTGCAGGATTTCATATGGTAGCACTTCTTCCAAAATGTTCATTTCAATTTCGCGAAAAATCTATAATATATTATATAGATAAATAAATTTAATTTTGTCTAAAATGAACATACAACATTTTAAATGCTAATGCGTGCGGAAAAGTGCAACTTTGCGCACGCAAATGGGTGCGGATAAGTGTTACTTTGCGCATAATTGCACAAATAGATTAACAGACTAAGCATTTAAATTGTATAGTACAAAACACTTTATATTAAGAACAAGGTTGGGCCCAGGATGGATCATTGAAAAACACCCATCTTTAGACTTATAAGTACAATCTGAAAATGTATAGGATAGAAAACTATCTTTAATGGATTTAAGAGCAACAACTTGTTTTTTGTTGGAGAGGTATTAGGTCATCAGATCTAATGCCACTCCACGAATCCTTCTTTATTCCAGTATTTTTTGAAATACCAGTTTCTTCGTATGTTACACTGACACTTTTTGATTTTCCTTTATCAATATGTTACTTTACCATATTTAAAAGTATTATTCTTTGACCTCGTCCTATATGTTGCAGAGGATTGGTTTTCCACACTGTCCACATTGTCCATATTTAAAAATATTTTTTTTAGGTTATGTTAAGGAATTTATAGTAATCCACTTACCTGTTGTTCAGTAACAAATTATTATGAAAGGTTAATGCGTTAAATAAAGCCAATAAATCACATAACAAACAAAAAATTAACAAAATAAAAACTTTCTATCATAACAGCTGATGATACTGCTGCCATTTAAAACAAATTTAATGCTATGTTGCCAATTTGCGATGAAACAAACCTTCTGAAAAGTCTTTCTATAATTAAAATATTTTTGACAAATTGACAACAAAAACTAATAATATTATAATATAATATAATATTTTTATTTAAATAATATAACAAGTTTGTAAATTTGTTTTAAGAAGCAATGGCAACGATGTATAAGAAAATATTCAGTGTATTATGAGAGCTACGTTATATCAAATATCCAATGCATTAGACCACTTTACATTTTGTGAGAAAAAACTAAATTGCCAACTGACTGATTTTATTCTGTACCGTGGCATACTGTTAAAGTTTAATTTAATGCAGTCATATGTTGTGTTCCATGTAGTAGGGGTGTTACAGGACTGGAACGTTCAGTTGTTTAAACGTGATATATGCTACTACACTAAAAGTGGTTTGTTGTTGTTAAGAGCCTTGGCCAAAGTTTTTTTGTTTTATGTTTTTTGTATATCAAATGAAATGAAGGGCAGTAAGTACTAGTTTTTTTGACAAAATTGTTGGTCTAAGCCCCCTGTATATTGAGTTAATTAAACTAATTATAATATCCCTCATACTAAGAATTCTATATTTTAATTTAACATTTTGAAATTTATTGTTGAAGCATACGTAAGTTTCAGCCTGTAACTTTTAATCTCATTAAAGTATATTAGGTATTACCTAAAACTTTGGATCGTAAGAACTATGGTAACTTATAAGTTAAAAAACTATTGCAATATATTGGTGGGTACATATTTGAGAAAGTAATTCATTTCAAAGTTTTAAACTATTTTATTAGGCAGTGTTTTTGATCATCACACTGTGATGGCATTTGACTAAGTAGCATTTTATTTGTTATTTTCCTATAGGAAAATAACAAATAAAATGCTACTTAGTCAAATTATTAATATACTATAACTATATATGTATTATAATATACTAGTATATTATAATACACGGTGTGCCTGAACGAAGTTTAAGTCACATAAAAATGCCGCCAAAAACTGATTGCAGTTTCTTGTTCAGGACCCTTTGGTGACTTAAAAATGATATTTACCAAAATCCCAGCTGCTCCTCTTTTCGAAATTTTTTAAAAATTCTTAATTTTTTTTTAATTTTTGTTTATCTTACCTTTTGACAGAGTACACATTTTTACATCGATTTTTATAATATTGGATTAATTAAGGAGATTTGGAGAATACCTTTTTATACTGTGCACATCATTTAATATATACAGGGTTAGCCAAAAATCGCTTCTTTTAATAAAGCAAAAGCGTAACTTCATGATTTTGGCATAACACGAAAAAAAGATATATACCCACCCATGTTTTTTTAGATATTTTTATGTTTATCAGGCTACAAAATGGGATTCTTATGAAGACTTTATAAGAAAAATTGATTTTGAATAAAATTAAATAAAATAACATTTTTGGAGTTAAATCTTTTTTGTGCATTATGCTTTTTACTATATAAAAAGTGATTTTTGGCTAACCCTGTATAAATCTAATGTTGTGCTCAGTATGAAAACAGTATTCTCCAAGTCTCGTTAACAATATTATAAAAATCGGTGTACAAATGTGTACTCTGTCAAAGGTAAGATAAACAAAAATTAAAAAAAAAAATATTAAGAATTTTCAAAAAATTTCGAAAAGAGGAGCTGCTAGGATTTTGGTAAATATCATTTTAAAGTTACCAAAGGGTCCCGAACAAGAAACTGCAATCAATAAAAATCGGTGTACAAATGTGTACTCTGGCAAAGGTAGACTTTGCGATAAACAAATAATTAAAAAAAAATGATTTTTTAACAAATTTAAAAAAAGCACTTAGAATTTTGGTAAATATCGTTTTTAAATCTCCAAAGAGTGTCGATCAAGAAAATTTAACCAGTTTTTCGTTCAAAATTGAAAACTACTAAAAAGCCTAAATTAAACAACATTTTAAATATTCTCTAAGCGTTATTTTATTTAATTTTATTAAAAATCTATTTTTTTATAAAAGGTTAATAAGAATGCCATTTTGCAACCTGATAAACGTAGAAATATCTAAAAAAAAATGGGGAAAAATCTTTTTTGCGTGTTATGTCAAAATCATGAATTTACGCTTTTGCATTATAAAAAATAAGCGATTTTTGGCTCACCCTGTATATATCAAATGATTTGAACAGTATCAAAACTCTGTCAAAGGTAGACTTTGAAATAAACAAAATTTAAAAAAAAATCATGAATTTTCAAAAAATTTCGAAAAGAGTGGCAGCTAGGATTTTGGTAAATATCATTTTTAAGTCACCAAAGGGTCCCGAACAAGAAACTGCAATCAGTTTTTGGCGGCATTTTTATGTGACTTAAACTTCGTTTAGACACACCGTGAATAAAAGAAAAAGTTTCTATAAGCAGATGTCCGAATTTTTTTTTTACCAAGGAGCGAAATAAAAAAATGCCAGCCAAAAATAATCTGAGTGATGTCTGATATCAATATCAATTGTTAAAAATACAAATAAAATAAACTTTAAACTTCGAAAGAACTGGGGTACCAACTACTTCAAATTGTGATTTTCTAAAACAAATATAGAAATTTGTAAGTTAAATTAAACTTTTCATGTTGTTGACCCGACTTTCTGGATTATGTATGCATAAAACTCATATAGATGTAGATAATTCCCGACTAAGCCAACACGGCATTATGTGTGCCAGAAAGTTTTCCATAACTTTTACCTTTTCGTATAACGTATAACTCGCAATATTTAAGCCGTGCCCAATATTGACATTGGAATAAAAACCCCAAAACACCCGAATCCGAGAATTGTGAACGACCAGAAGTTAAATTGCCTATTATAGGGGATCACGTTTCTCTTATGCTGCTTAGGCATTCGTTTGATATTTTTTGTCAACAATCTTTGAGTTTGATATGAAAAAAAAACAAGTTTTTTACCTACTCTTGAACACAGACGGGACAGACGCGTTTTTGTGTAAATGAGACTTAAAAACTTATTTTATGATTATTTTGGGGAATTGTAATTTTCAGGTAACGCATGTCAAAATAATAATTCAGGTGACAGATGTCAAAAATGACAGGTGACAGGCGTTAACAATAAGATGTAAAAATGATACATGGGAAACGAAAATAATAATAATAAATTTCTAAAAAATAATACTTAGTAGGTATATTCTGTAAAAGTTTGGAATACGGCATATTCCGCTCGAGTAAAAAGTTTGTCACACGAGCCGAAAATGGGAATATGCAATTCCAAACGTGTTTCATACTATACTTTTTTGCGTTTCCAAAAAAAACCATAGACAAATAATTTAATTGGAATAAAGTGAGGTTGGATCGGTCTAAAATTTGTTAGATATTAAAAACAGAGATGTCGCCACGAGTATTTATTCTGTCATCAGATGATAGAATATTTTATTCCGTAACACTTTAATGTTAATATTTCATAATAGGAGTAGAAAAACATTATTCTATCAGGGTTGTCACCAAACTGTCAAATGTCAATTTCAAGGTTAATTTACCATAACCCACAAATTCCCCGTACCCACAAATTAACCTTAAAATTGACATTTGAAAGTTTTATGACAGCCCTGATAGAATAAGGTTTATTTTTCACAAAAGAGGAGTAAAATGGTTGCCCTTGGCACTTTAAGGTCCCTTTTAAAGGTTAGAAGTGCCTCTGTAGGAATCACAACGTTAAAAAAGAGTTTAAATTTGTATAAACAGCACAAACCCGAAGCACAAGAATTGTATACAACATAAAAATTGCCGCTGTGTAGTGGGTTGCCTAAGTTCGTGATTTTTAGTATGCGCGAACGACATGTTGTGTGGATTGTCCCAGCCTAGTATATTTTAGGCTTAAAAAACGGTTTTAAGTATTTTTTTCAACTCTCCAAATGCTTACGGTGAATTAGAAAAAATCCTCACGAAAGTCGCTATTTTCATTTTTGATTCCTATTATTAATGGGAATTTTTAGTCGGGAAAACATGCAGTGAACCGTTTCACGAATTCTCACCCCATTGTATATTTAGAAAGCTGGCTTTTTAAGCTATTCAAATCTATATAATAAAGTTCGATTACATTAATTAGAAGATTAAATAAAGTCATTTAAAATCAAGAGATTTTGTTGCTACAGAAAAATAGTTGAAAGGGAAAATGTAGGTAAATAATTTGATATTAGTAATGTTATATTATTAAATCATTTTACATCTTAGAAATTTGTATAATCATTTATTTTTGTTTTAAATTTGGTCTAAAAAATTGACCTAAACTGTAAAAAAATATTTGTTAATTTTAACCAAATATTAACCAGATTTTATGTTAATCCTGGACCACATAACTTATTTTAAGTTTACCACCAACTGTTATCTGTTAACTAATTCAATAAGTAGTTTGTAATTATAACCAACATTTTGTAGATTAAATAACAAAATCATATGTCAATAATTCAACCATAATTCTTGTATTTTTCAAAAAGGACCTTATTTTTACAAACCTTTTTGTGGACCCAGTAACAAAAGTATTTGTTGGAAGTTGGGAAATTAAATGAAAAAAAAAATTGATAAGAAATGTTGCTTTATAAATCAATTTCCTACACACATACCTACACAGAAAAAAATATCGTACCTGATATTAATGTCCTACGATCATTAAGTGCAAAATCATTACGATAATGTCCTTTTCATAGTATTAATACAATCAAGTAATTATGATAATGCTTCAAAAATATGAGTTAATGTATTATTGGATTGTCACAATGTCTGCCTGGTCATTATCCTAGTGCAAGAATTTTATTATTTTTTAGCCAAATTACATTAAGACAATGATATTTTACATTAATACGATGATTATTTACATTAAATCAATAACCTAGAGTACATTAGTTAATCATTGCTCAGTGATAAAATTAATGTCAAGGCTTAATAGAGTAATACTCTAAATGGTATAATTTAATAATCTAAAATTATTACATTAATGCCTATATATACATCAACTTATGTACCCTTAGCAAAATATAATGCCCTAACATATTAAATAATACAACAAATCATAACTTTATCGCCAAATACGTTGAGCCAATGTCTAAATACATTAATATTAGGCCCTGTTGTTTCCCACCACCTAAAAGTGCAAGAAGAAAACAATTTAACAACAGTTTAGTATTCCTGTTAATCCTGTTGCGACGTGCTTGCCCGCCCATCCCGATTGTTGTGCGTTTAGGTTTATTATTATATGAAATATAAATTAGTATGTAAGTAAGACAATGTTAAAAAGTTAAGGTTTATTTATGTTTCATAATTTTTTTCTAATAAATATAAGGATTTTAAATTACCAAGGGTTTTTATTATTTTTTTATATTAATCTTTAGTTTCATAATATTTACAAAAAGGACTAAAAATATGTAAAGTTCCAGTTCCAGTTTTGCGGTGGCCCGGACATAAACCCTGTAGAAAATGTTTGGAAATTTCTGTAAAGGGAACTGGCTAAAGAGAACATCACCACATAAGTAATATTAATAGTAATAATTATTAATAATTTTTCTCGATTTTTATGTAAGAATGTCATATTCACGCACGCAAAATCGTTGAAGAATGAAGCTCATTCTTAAACGATTTTTGGTAACATTTAGTTTTTAAGTATTGGTACCCCCAAAATGTCAAACTGTTTAATAACCTCAAATTCATTACGTTTAGGATTATTTATAATAGCTTTGTTTGTTATCCTGCACTAGTGCAACCTGAACTACACTTTTATTGAAAATGAAGCCTTTATTATTGTTTTGTTATATTAAGTTTGCTCCAACAATGCATTTTAATGCAAAATTTTAAGTTTAATGTGAAAAAGTGCAGTTCAGGTTGTACTTGTGCAGGATAACAAATATTGACAAATAAATGAGCCAAACAGGTCAATCAAACTATATTTTATTGGAAATATTTTATACCCACAGTACACAAAACTACTTTAAATTAATCACTAGCACAATTGTTATAAACTTTTATTGTAATGTTCGGTGTTGCTTGTAAAACCTCCTGTGACATTTTTCACTGCTAAAAGTAAACACAATTGTTCAAAAATATCAGAAAACATTAAAAAATAATACAATACTTACACAAAACCTTATTATCCAGTTGACAAATACAGACAGATTATTAATAAATAGTAAATAAAAATAAATCTACCTGTCCATGCAACTGTCATTTTGTGTTGCCAACTGACATTTTGCGAGAAAAATCCCCCAACTAACAACGACCACAAAACAATTAAAAAAACCTAAATAAAAGTTAAAATCGAGAAAATAGTATAAATCACACGTTGCAGAAGGCTATTCTCGCGCTCATTCGTTCGTCCACTCGCTCCTTCGTCGCTCGAGGCCAAATTTCGAATTCGTGCGAGAATATGTGGCCTTCTGCAACTTGTACTTTAATATACTATTTTACATATTTCTAGCTCTTTTTGTTAACTGATCAACAAAAAAATTGATTTAATGTTAAAACTTAAGGTAAGTGTAATAATTTATATACGTATTCGTATATATACATATACATATACAGGGTATCTCAAAAGTTAAGGACAGCAGAAAAGGGGTGGATAGAGGATGGGATTCTAAGTCGAATGGTCTTTGCTGTTTTTCAATCGACTTAAAATTCCATCCTCTATCCATCCCTTTTCTGTTGTCCTTGACTTTTGAGATACCCCGTATATATATATATATATATATATATATATATATATCGAAATTTTTCCATCCCTTATTTCAGGCCTACTATTAATGCTTCTTTGCATTATGATAATGCTAACAGATCATTAATTAATGTAGGTATATTAGGTGATTGGGTAATGTTCTTTAATTGTTAATTGATAAAAATTTATTAATTGGTTGATGTTTACTGGGCATAGAATTAATGTACTAGGACATTAATCCATGTCAATGGTCATTAATATCAGTACTTTTATTTGAGATCTTCCTGATTAAAATCAATGTCCGCCAAGCATTAATATTACGTCCTTGTACATTGAGTAATACTTTAAAAGCATTGTGGTAATGATTTTGAGCATCGGAGCAAAATTAATGTAAAAAAACATTGCCTTAATGTTTTTTTTTATTAATATTACGTACGTTTTTCGTTGTGTGTATGTATGTATAAATAAATGAACACAAAAATAACATACACACCATTCTGAAATCATCAAATTATAAAGAAATTTGGTAAAATATAATTATCAATACTACTACAACACTTACTGTTGTATTTTGTAACTTTAACCCCCCTTCACTGTATCCCCTAATTTCAGTTTGAAAACCAGTTATGGCATCTTTTTTCGGATACTTCGCACTTCGCACACTTGTTAAATACGTATAAGAATAACAATAATAACAGATTTCTGGTAGTATATTATAAACACTCTGGATAGTTGTTACGAAAACGCTACGAATTAGAATAAAGTAACATAGCAGAAACATAAGTTGCTGAAGTCAGTTAAACTTGTTGATGAGTATTGTCAGTGGGAAATGTTTTGATTAACTTCCACACCTCAAAGTCCCACCACGTGACCACGTACGGAACGCAGTCTTTTGAAAATTTGGCATTTAAGGCTTTTCAGGTTATGTATATGTCAAAGTATAGTCAACGAAAGAAATAATATTATGTTTAGGTGTTATAAATCTTTATAACATTACAATAACAATGGATGGTTTAAGAATTTAAGAATATAAATACTGCATTTAATGAAATTCTAAAGTGTATGGTGCCAAATAAGTAATATTTTTGTGCATTTGGTCCAAATATCTGGTTTTCTCCATAAAATAATTTTAACTTAACAGCATTTATTAAAAAAAATCTAGCTTCTCTACTATGAAATAAGAATATCTGTTTTAAAGGTGGGTTAATATATTATAACAAAAATATCATCTAATTTTGTAATTTTAAGGTTAGAAAAATTTATTTTGACCAAAATAAATAAGTATTTTGGATTATTTAAAAGACTGTATAATATAGTATTTAAAAATGTGGTAGTTTTTCTTATCCAGCTTAAAGTGTACCTACATTAAGTTTTGTCAATACAAATAGTTAAAAAGCTTCGACTGAACTTGATCTACATTGAAAAATCATTATAACTCTAAAAATTTTAATAAATCACATGTCATGGGAGTATTAAATATTTTCACATTGCAACTTTCTTTGTTTGTTTTCTTATAATCTAACTTAAAGTAGGTATGCTGAGAGGTATGCACAAGTTTTGTCATCAGAAGTATAAAAGCTTCAATTTAATTTGAACCATATTCAACAATTATTTAGTATACCTATATTTATTTATGACCATATTAACGCACTCTTTCAAATAATCCATTTATTTATTTTGGTCAAAATAGATTTTTCTAACCTTAAAATACAAAATTAGATGAAATTTTTTGTTCTAATACATTAACCTTTGATACAGATATTCTTATTTCATAATAGAGAAGTTTTTTTAAATAAATGCTGTTTAGTTAAAACTATTTTATGGAGAAATGTAGACCCAATGCACAAAAATATCACTTATATTGCACCTTAAACTTTGGAATTTCATTAAATGCAGTATTTATATTCCTAAATTCTTAAACCACCCATTGTTATTGTGATACTATAAAGATTTATTAACTTTTAACGCTTAAACATAAGCGGTAACACTATAAATATTATTTCTTTCATTGAGTATACTTTGACAGATACATAACCTGAAAAGCCTTAAATGCCAAATTTTCAAAAGACTGCGTTCCGTACGTGGTCACGTGGTGGGACTTTGAGGTGTGGAGCATAGTACGTTTTCAACGAAGTTTGTTAAACATTAACAAAGTAATCTGTAACCTCTGAAATTAACAAAATTGTATATAACATTTACAAAACTTTCGGTAATTTGATTTGTACAAAAAATTATATTAAAATTATCAAACTACAAACTCATGTTAACATATCCAGGGCTCCCACACCTCCTTAAATTCATAAAATTCCTAAAATTTGGCTTTAATCTTAAAAACTCCTAAAATTCTCCTAAAATTGCCATAAATCTCCTAAAACTCCTAAAAATTAAATATAAGTAGGCCAACTTGACTGCGTTTAATTAAGGTAGTTGTGCTAAAAAATTTCTTTTTTAAAAAGTAATTTAAAAAATATATATTTTTGGGTTCTGGTTTATTAAATTCTTTTTAAAATGATATAGGTATCACAACCTACATTTTTCTTAAAAAACAACAAAATATACCATAAAACAAAATCCATGTAGTAGCTTCTAGACTTCTACAAAATTGTCATTTTTAGCCATATTTCGTTAATTTTCGACAAAAATATACCGTGTTATATATCAAACAAAAGGATTTTTAATTTTCTTTTAAATGATAGCTAAAATAGTAAACAATCTAAAGAATGTTTTGCTGTATCATGCACTTTATATTTTTTCTATTATGAGATTTTTTAGTAACAATAACATTACAATTATTGTTAGTTATTAACTAAACTGTTAAATTTTTTTTTTTAATATAAATATAACATCATTAAACTTTGGCCTACTTTTTTAGCCATATCTATCGACGCTTTTTTTTAAATAAAATTAAAAGTGTGATGAAATTTCTACTTGTAGATATATACAAAAGTAGTAATTTTACCTCACTTTTCATTTTATTAAAAAAAAAACTCGTCGAACGATTTGGATAAAAAACTAGTCAATATAACCTATTTGTACAAAAGAAGTGATATTTATTTATATTTTTGTTAAAAAAATTACTTATTTTTTGTCTTCTTTTTTAAGTATAGTGTAGTTGTTTTTATTTAATTGAATAAATTCATTTGCATACTTTTTTCTCCTAAAATTCTCCAAAAAACCTTCTAAATTCCTAAATAAAATTTGTAATTTAACCGTGGGAGCTGCATATCTGACAGTGGGATTTATTCCTTAATTAAAAGATTTTTTTATTTTTTCCAGAATGTTATATTATTAAAATTAAAAGTTTTGTATTTAATGACCCCGATAATAATAAAACACAAACTCCCATGGCTTTAAACAAATGTTAGAAAACGGTTTGCACATTTCAATAATGTTATTTCCTTTTTCCAGATGGTGCTTGTTGCGCTTCGTGCGTCCCGCTGATAACGCCGTCGAGTCTAACCGTGTCGGCGAGGGGTCGCGTGAAATTGGGCCAAGAGACCGGCGGGGGCCGATTGGGCCGCGGTACGCCGCCGGTGCACCTGGCGGGCTACTTGGCGCCCGAATACCGCCCCAACAAGAAATGCTCCGACACGGAGGTGGAGAAGGTATGTAATTGTTGTTCGATTTGCCTACTTGATTGACATAATTATGTAATTAATATCTTAGTACTGCATGCATTATTATTATACATAATTATGTCTGTATATACTAGGGTGATTCATTTCCGCAAGGTTTTTGTTTTTTTTTCGGTGCTCAAGCAAAATATTAATCTGCATATAGGAAAAAACATTCTCACCAAGTTTGAGCTCTTAATATTAATTTTAAGCACTAACTATTTAAATTTAAAGTTTTACCGTTTAAAATGCATGTAAAAAATATATATATTTTTTCAAATTTCTAATGTATACCCACCTTTGACAATATTGCAATTCGGTTTAATACACCTTATGGGGAATTTCACGCTCTTTAAAATTGCTTTTGTGTTTTTTTTGTAACTCGCATTGGTTCACGAGTAGGAGTAGTCAAAGTTTTTGAAAAAAATTGTTTTTTTTTATTTTTTCGAGCAAATCGCCAAAGGTAGTGAGAAAAAAGGGCTGATTCATAAAAAAAAGTTATCCAACCAATATTTAATGAATTTACTGCCATTTTTATAACTGAAAACGTAAGAAATTGATAAATACCAACCCATAATGTTATTTATATTGATTTTTTCTATTTATTATCATTATATTTCCCTACACTAAGAACTTTTTTAAAATTATTATGATTTCTCACTCATAATAAATATGAAAACAACACATAAATTCATAAAAAAAACAACAAAACTTTAATCGGAATATACAGAAGGTTATGTAACATATTTCAAATTTCGCTTCAAAAAATTAAATAATCTTCATTTATATTTTTTTGCTATATGACAGAAATGTTGAAAAATTGCAAAATCCACGTTACAATTTTCTTATTGTTTTTTATAAATTTATGTGTTGTTTTCATATTCATTATAATGTTATTTAGATTGGTTTTTTTCTATTTATTATCATTATATTTCCCTAAACTAAGAAGTTTTTTAAAATTATTGATTTCTCACTTATAATTATAAGTGAGCAATCAATAATTTTAAAAAACTTCTTAGTTTAGGGAAATATAATGATAATAAATAGAAAAAAACAATCTAAATAACATTATGAGTTGGTAATTATCAATTTCTTACGTTTTCAGTTTTGCGGTTTGTTAGAAAAAATTAAAAAAAAACGATTTTTTTCAAAAACTGTCCTTTGACGACTCCCACTGGTGAAAAAAAAAAAGTGGGAAAGCATTAGAAATTTAAAAAAAATATATATTTTTTACATGCATTTTAAACGGTAAAACTTTAAATTTAAATAGTAAGTACTTAAAATTTATATTAGGAGCTTAAACTTGTTGAGAATTTTTTTTTCTATATGCAGATTAATATTTTGCTTGAGCACCGAAGAAAACAAAAACTTTGCAGAAATGAATCACCCTAGTCTGTATACACTGAGGGAAAAATCTAAAACCTGTTATGAAAAATATAATACCTACTCCTTATAAGATTTCTCTATTAGTATTAGGACAGCCAACTAGTTCATAGACAGTATGAACTCGGTTTTGTTAAAACATCTTGTAACAGTTATTAGTCATACTATTATTATATTACAAACTCTGTTTATTCTCTTTATTAGCAATTTAGTTACTTTAATAAAAATATGTCTTATAGACGAAATTATGAATTTTTCATTAGAATTATTATACTTACTTGCTGACAGGATAAGGGTCGTTATATAAAAAGTTCAACTTTCATAAATTGTATACTTTTATTATAAAAACAGGTACAAAAAATAAATACATACAGAAGTAAATCAAAATTTTGCATGTCTAAACTTACAAAGAATGCCAAGGAAGAAAATAAAACAAGCGTAAAAATATTCCCACTTACAAAAACCCCACAGCGTGTTACTGCAATTTTTTAAAATTAATATTTGGAAAATGTATTCTTTTAATTTTTAGTAAAATCGTTTGTTTTGGGGCTATTTTTTAATTAATTTTTTATTAAAATTATGATTTAAATCGTTAATTTTAATTAACTAATTAAATTAAAATCTCAACCTTATAAATGTCTGTCAAAACAAAGCTTTAAGTACTAAACTACCTATCTTCAAAATATTTTCCAATAAATGCTAAAACGGCGTGCCATAGAATACATTATTGGGGAATATAGGTATTAGATATATGTAGGTAGGTACAGGGTGAACCAAGTAAGGGGACCCATATACTTATCTCAGAAACTATACTTTACAGTATACTGTCCCAAAAACTGTGTAGAGAACAAAAAATTATGTAGGTAGTATTTTTTTAATATTATATTAACATTGTTATATATTAATATAAATAAATAAAATATAGTTTAATTTAGAATATAAATAATAAACAATATTAAACTAAATGTTCCCATGTCCACAGTTCTTAATAATGTTGCTCTTGATTGGCTAATTTTTATAATTTTTGCTATTATTTTTTGTGACTCCAGTAGTTTCTAAGATACCTATATCCTTATAAACCACGTAAGGTGACCCATTTAATATATTATACTTATAAGTATATGGGTCACCTTATGTAGTTCACCATGTACATTTACATATAATGTAAAATTAATAGATTATTATAATGGGAATCAATAAAAACAGTTTTTGTGTACCTGCATCGGGGTCCACTTGTTCAGCTCATTGTGCTGTTCCAAAAATAGTGGATAATATCCACATTAACATTATTAAAAATATTCATGTTTTTAATCTTTAAAATAGCTTGACATAACCTATCAAAAACAAACTGTAACTAGAATTGCAAATTGTCTATAAGCCCACTGGATATGATAATGGTAATATTTATCAATTGGGACAAGCAGCCTGGGTCAACTACATTAGAAATAATTTTAATTTTGACCAAATAAAACAATATTTTTATTATACCTTCATAGGTATAATATAATATATTTTTATTATACCTTCATAGGTATGAAAACAAATAAAATAATATTCTTAAAAATAATAAACCACAGCCTACACAGTCAAAAAAGAAAAAAACAACAAAATAAACAAATATTCTAATTAGTCAAAAACTAATACCTACCTAGGTCTAATATCAAAATTTGGATTTAAAAATTTAATTTTTTTCATTTCAAATCCTAATTGTTCTTCTTTCAGCTCTATATAATTTTCTAAATAGTTTTTAATAAGCTCAGAATGTTTTTTTTTTAATTTTCTGCTCCTTGTTCAAATTTATTAAGTTCCTGCCATGTTTGGCCCAATGCATAATCTCCATCCATTGCATCCTTACCTCATTTTATTCCTCAAGCAGTTTAAATTTCTTACTTTTTGTATTATATTATATGCTGGTACATAAATAAAAAACCGATAAACTGTGGATAAACCAAAGATAACATATTAAAATATAGGTTATGTTTGATCGTAAGTAAATAGGCGTGAAGTTGCAGTAGTTCGTTTATACTACTTTAAATTAGACATTTACAGATAACATCCCAGACTTGCCACTTTTACTATTCTATTTATAAGCATTATAGTTACAGAACATCGTAAGCTGCAGATTTACGAATTTACAGAAATTTTACGAGAGAACCCAGAATTGACCTATAAAATTGACATTTTGTTACGTGTGGAAGAAGATCCTCACAGTGCTTCTAGCCTAGTCGCAGCTGAAAGTCAAGTCTGCCAACCATCATACTATACAGGGTGTCCTGAAATTAGTGCACCTTACTTTAACAGCAGATTGTACGTGCAAAAATACGAAAAAAAGTCCCTATAAACATAGGTCAAGAAATGCCTCTTAAGGAAGCTACAGCCCCCAAAAGGAAAGCTCCTGAAGATGGTTTTTATTTAATATCTTCAAAACCGTTAAAAATATAAAAATGAAATTTGGGGAATTAATTAAACTTTTTATGACCAATAAGACGTAACAATAACAATTTAAAATTTTTAATGTGGTTTGGGTCAGATTGATAGGAAGTAGGGTTAAAACCACCTTAACTTTTTTGTACGTATCTTGTACCAGAATTTGGTGTCAGATTATAAAATTTTAGAGTTTTGCACATAAAAAAGGTCATCTTGTTGAACTTCGATAACATACACCGTTTTCGCATAAAATCGATTTGAAAATTATTTTACATGGCATAAAAATTCACAATTAAATCACAACCATAGAAATGGACTCGCGTGGTCCTTGGAATACGGCTGCCATGTTTAGGAAAAAATAGAATAATTTAAGACAGGTGACAGTTTCATGTAGTAAGTGACAGGGTGTTTTTACTTTTTTATTTATATTAGATAAAAACCATCTTCAGGGGCTCCCTTTTCGGGGGCTGTAGCTCCCTTAGGAGGCATTTCTCGACCTATATTTATAGGGACTTTTTTCTTATTTTTGCACGTAGAATCTGCTGTTAAAGTATGGTGCACTAATTTCAGGACACCCTGTATATATAGTATATGATGCATAAGGGTGAATATAAAAAACGGGGATAAATTGGGGTGGTAAAAAAATAAAAAGCAAAGATTAATAAAACACTAGAAAAATAATACCTCAATGTGTATTTCTTAATAACATAAAGTAATTTCAAGGCGGCTATAAATTAAACTTAATACTTCTATTATTTAACAAAAAATAAATGAGTCCATGGAGTTGACGTTCTGGACCATGGAGTTGATACAATAACATAAAAACAACATAAATCTAACCTTGTTTTGCCTGTTCTAACTATAGTTAGTTATGGATTAGGAAATTTTTATGTTAAAAATCATTTGCAAACATTTGCTAAAAGATGGTTCTTTTCTGACATCTATTCAGATTTAGATTCAGAAGATAATTTTATAATAGAAATTAGAAGATAATTTTATAATAGAAATTAACGGAAATAGAAAAAATAGTATAAAGCACTCGTGACGAAAGACATTTTCGCACTCGTCCTTTATGTCACTTGCACGCTTCGCGGCTCGTGCCGTAATTTCGGACTCGTGCGGGAAAGCAGTGTACTTTAATATACTATTAATACTTTTATTTAAATAGAATAATATTATTCTTAAAAAATGCAAATAAAGGAATCAAAATTCGATCTTTTAACTGCCGGATATCCGGCCGCCGGATATCCGGTTATCCGGCTTCGATTCTTGCCGGATATTCGGTATCCGGTGTCTGGCCAAACAAGTATTTATTTCATCTCTATATGTATATGCTGTATATAGTTATAATAATAATACTATTAGAGAATTTTTTTAAAGAAAAATTAAATTAAATTTATTATAATTTAACTATAAATTATTAATTATCGATAATAATGCCTTAACTTATATGAGCTAAGAGTTTAGGGCAATAATAAGAAAGTAAACAACTCCATGGACATACCTTTTAACTCCATGGAGTTGATGTCCATAGAGTTGATGTTTTTATAGTTAAAGTCACAAACTTTAGAAAATGGTACATAATGTATCTTTAGTTAACTGTAATTTAAGCAAAGCATATTTGGTTATTTCACCTGGAGAAAGTTTAAATTTCAATTGTATTTAAATCCCTTTGTTATTAAAGACATGGAGTTGATCTTTAATAAAAATACTTACCCGTTTTTTCGCAAATAAATGTTTTTATAAATTTTTATTAAATATTACACCCCCTTTGCATTGCTTACACAAATCAACACTAAATCACTCAAACGACGAAGTCTTCAAACATTACTAAAATACGTCTTATACAGGGGATTTATCATATATTAAAAGACTGCAAAGAACTCAGCTGTAAAATGGTGTCTCATGCTTTATTCGACATTTTGGGTTAAAATATCAATAAGTTTGCTTTTGGTTGTGTTTTTTATACATTCCAAGTTAGAGGAAATGCAATATGAAAGAATCATTTCACAATTGCATCTAGTCTAATAGTATATGGATGATTTGTTGTCCCTACCCTAGGTGGTGACACTCCATGGAGTTGACTTTAAAGCGTTTAAGCAAATTCAAATTAATAAAATAAATAATGTTTTATTTTTTTGGTTAAGTTCGTTCTATTGCTAGACATTAACTATCTATTGTAGTGTTATTTAAATGCTAACTACTTTCATTAGTATATTTTATTTAAGAGTTTCAGCATATTTGCTCCGTTCTGGAGAATCACCCATAAATCAAAACTGTAAAAAAAGTTATAAAAGGAGTATAAACTCATACATAACGTTCGTATTTTAGTTCCACCGTGTATATCTGCTACGATGTATTTCTCATAATTTTTTGTGTTAAACTGACAACTGTGGTTGCGTAACCCTTAAGTGTATCGAGGAGAAGGCCGTAAAAGAAGTTTGACCCATTTACTTTGAAATTTTGCAGCTTTGCAAATTAGCTTAAGTTGCGAAGCAATTGGTATTTTTTACTTTGCATTCGATCTTTGAACTTTGCTTTGATTAATTTTTACTTCCCTCTACAAAATTGATATCCATGAAAAAATGCTTTAAAAAGTCGTTTTATAGTTTTTTGTGTTTTCCTGTGTAAGATTGATTTTTAATAGCTTTTAGTGAATGACTTTTGAAATCAACTTCGTTTGTAAAATTATTTTTTTTAACTAAATTACCCAAGTAATTGATTTTGCTTTCAATTAATTTTGTGTGATTGGCTCCCTTACAGTTGTAAAATGAAAAACATGGGTATTCAAAATTTATTAAATATATAAGTGCCACTTAAGCTCTGAAGGAAATTCAAGCTTTCAATTTGTATTTAACTTTCGGGATGAGTAAATCAGTATAGCAAGTCCTTGGCAGTGATGCCAAATGATATATTCACTAACTATAGTAATAATATGTATATTTCCACGGTTCCACTATTACTAATATGTAGTTAACTATTGGTGACTTGACAGTAAGGATAATATTGTAATACACAGTAACAAAATATTTGTTAATTTAACCAAATATTAACCAGATTTCATGTTAAACCAGGTCCACATAACTTTATGTTAAGTTTACAAACAACTGAGTCAAGCCACGTCAAGTGGGACCAGAAAATTTCATGAAATAACCGATTTTGAAAATAATCACATTATAGTCTAGTAGGCATGACTCATATGTCACAGTAAAAAAATTGTTTTAAAATTCATTTTTTGGTAATGTTATTAAGGTTGAAAATTTGGTCAAACTTTAAAGCAATTGTCTTAAGGTAAAATTGAAAAAATAGAATCTCTGGGACCACTTTGTATAATTGAATTAAATTGTACACACTATTGTAGAAATGTTTAGACTATATAATGATCATTTAATTAAGGTCAATTTGTTTAAATAAAAAAAATTTGCATACATTTATTATAAACAATTACGCTGAAAAAAATTTAATCTTGTGTGATAATATGCGGCAAACGTTCCCATTTAAATCACATAAAAATGCCGCCAAAACTGATTGCAGTTTTTTGTTCGGGACCCTTTGGTGACTTAAAAATGATATTTACCAAAATGCTAGCTGCTCCTCTTTTCGAAATTTTTTGATAAATATTTTTTATGCATTATGCTTTTTACTATGTAAAAAGTGATTTTTGTCTAACTCTGTATAAATCTAATGATGTGCTCAGTATAAAAACAGTTTCTCTCGTGTACAATATCGGTTTACAAATGTGTACTCTGGCAAAGGTAGACTTTGCGATAAACAAATAATTAAAAAAAATGAATTTTTTACAAATTTTAAATCACCAAACAGTGCCGATCAAAAAACTTCAACCAATTTTTTGTTCAAAATTGAAAACTACTAAAAAGCCTAAATTAAACAACATTTTAAATATTCTCTAAGCGTTATTTTATTAAATTTTATTAAAAATCTATTTTTCTTGTAATAGGTTAATAATAATGCCATTGTAACCTGATAGACTTAAAAATATCTAAAAAAAAATTGGGGATTAATATTTTTCGCGTGTTATGCTAAAATAATGAATTTACGCTTTTGCTTTATTAAAAATAAGTGATTTTTGGCTAACCCTGTATACAGCAAATTATGTGAACAGTATTAAAAAGTATTCACTAAGTCTCCTAAATAATATACACCAATTTTATGAAAATCGGTGTACAAAGGTGTCAAAGGTAGACAAAAATTTAAAAAAAAACATGAATTTTCGAAAAATTTCGAAAAGAGGAGCAGCTAGGACTTTGGTAAATATCATTTTTAAGTCACCAAAGGGTCCCGATCAAGAAACTACAATCAGTTTTTGGCGGCATTTTTATGTGACTTAAACATCTTATTAAACGGAAACGTTTGCCGCATATTTTGACACAAGATTCATTTTTTTAGCGTGAAGAACACATGCAAAATATTAATTGTTTATAATAAATGTATGCAAAATTCTTTTATTTAAACAAATTTACCTTAATTAAATGATCATTCTATAGTCTAACATTGCTACGATAGTGTGTAAAATTTAATTCAATTATACAGAGTGGTCCCAGAAGTTCTATTTTTTCAATTTTACCGTGCTCTAAAGTTTTACAAAATTATTAACTTTAATAACATTAATAAAAAACCGAATTTCAAAACAATTTTTTTACTGTGACATATGCATCATGCCTACCACAAAATAATGTGATTATTTTCAAAATCTGTGATTTCGTGAAATTTTCTGGTCCCACTTGAAGTGGCTTGACTTAACTTTAATCTGTTAACTAATTGAATAAGTAGTTTGTTATTATAACAAACATATTGTAGATTTAATAACAAAATCCTGTCAATAATTCAACCATAATTCTTGTAATTTTCAAAAATTATCTTATTTTCACAAACCTTTTTGTAGACCTTGTAACAGAAGTATTTGTTGGAAATTGTGAACTTAAATGAAAAGAATTTTGATAAGAAATGTTGCTTTGTTAAACAAAAAAAAATACACATAACTACATAAATAAACACAAAACAACATACACACACAACTCTGAAATTATCAAATTATAAAGAAATTTGGTACAATATAATTATCAGTACTACTACAATACTTACTTATGTATTTCGTAACTTAAACCCACTTCACTGTATCCCATAATTTCAGTTTTTCGGAGACTCGTTAAGGAATCCGAATAACAATAATAAAATAGATTTCTGGTAATATATTATAAACACTATGGACAGTTGTTACGAAAACGTTACGAATTAGAATAAAGTATGCAGAAACATAAGTTGCAGACGCTGAAGTCAGTTGAACTTGTTGATGCGTATTGTCAGTGGAAAAAGTTTTGATTGACTGCCTGAAATCACGTGTACTTTTCAACGAAATAATTTGTTAAACATTAACAAAATAATCTGTAACCTTTAAAATTAACAAAATGCTTACAAAATTGCATATTACCTTTACAAAACTTTTGTTACAATATTTGTTAAAATAATTACAAACCCTGCTTTTCTACAAACAATTATGTTAAACTTATACAAAATAAAATTAACAAACTACAAACTCATGTTAACAAATCTTTTTTTTAACAGTGTAAGTAATTGGTGGTGATTTTTTGCTCTACTCAATATCCTGTCCCAAACTAAAATTCTGTGTCCGCGTTGTTGTGTTCTGTGTCCTGGTTTTTTACGATAGTTTTTTTCAGATGTGGATATTCGCATTGGGCGAGACCCTGAAAAGGGCGACAGTTCCCAACCACCAGTCCCCCTCGCGGATAAGTGACGAACTCAGTCGGGTGCTTGCGGACATGACGAAACTCAATGCCTCGTCCAGGGCCTCTCTGATGCATCTCCTGGATGTAAGTAAATAAAATAATATGTTTGCCTTTAAAAGTTTTTAATGGAAAGTATCGTGTTTAGGGTGCACCAAGCACGATACACAAAAACTGAAAACAAAATATTCTTGTATCAAATAAATTTATTTGATTCAAAACAATCTTTGTCTCATATATAACGAAGAGAATATATTCTTTAAAATAGTAAAGTATTTTCTTAATTCAGGTTGATTTACTTCAAGAATCTTTTCTTAATGTAAGAAAATTAAATTTGATTGTTTAAAAGCAAGGATATATAATTTTTGAAATAAGGCAGCAATATTTACTTAATTCAAGAAAATGTATTTTCTTTAACCAAATAATTGGTTGTTTTAAAGCAAGAATATGTTCTTTTTAAATATAAATTAGTGGTAGGTATTCTTAAATAAAAAAGATACTTTCTATCAATCAATATTTTTTTAATTAATAGATTCAAGATTTAAAATTTTATTTCATTGATTACAAACTAATATTTATTTTAAAACAATGCAAGAAGTATCGTTAAAAATAAAATGTATCTATCTTAATTTTAAGCTACTTTTGGCAATGTTTCAAAAAATCTATCATTTTGTATTTAAAATCAATAAAATTTTAAATAATGATACGTGTATTAACTAAAAATTATTTATTTTAATAATAAAAACATCTTTATATTTAGGAATATTACTGCAAAAGAAATAAAATTAAGGATTGTTGTCTAATCTTAAACAAAACTTGATATTTAAATACTTACGGATTATTCAAAATTGAGCCAAACTTACTGAAGGGCGAAAGTAAACGTTGGTATCGTTTCTAGGTGGTGCAGTAAGCAAAAAAATTTAGGTTTGAAAATAAAAAAACAAACACATTAATACATGAAAAATCTAAAATGTATAAATTATTATAAATTAACGTAGGGAACTTAATCATTATTATCGACATATTTTTCATTTTAAATAATTTGTAATATTTTAGGCATAGTAGAAAAGCAATTACCAATAAACTCTACCCTATATGAATCAAAATTAATGTTATACCCCAAATTTGGGGTAAGTATGAGTATGAGTATGGGAACGTATGGCAAGCCCCAGATATATTGTCATCCACTGATCTCCCGGGGTTATATTACCCCCTTTCCGTTGTCCTGCGTATCCCGCCAAATCACAGCATTACCTGTGTTTGTTGGATCCGAAGTTTTTACGCCGGCTGGTAGATCCACCCTAGGAGTTCGTGGATGACAGTGTCAAAGGTTAAGGCAGCTCCCGGGATTTTTGTCAGCCGGGTCGGGCCATACGTCCAGTTTAGGAAGGGTTTTTGGAGGACATTGAACTGACCCAAAACTAAGTACAATCCGGAATCCTCCTCAACCTAGGCCTTAGTAGTATCCCCATTCAATTGGTATTCGTGAATGGGGGTGGGTATGTTAGTTTTTTGCTTACTCCGGCTACCAACCTTGTATATTCTTTATTTATTTTATTGCTTTATTAGTGTTCATACCGTTTTCATTTATTTATATCTTTGCCATCTTACTTATTTTTTTTCAAATTAATTTAAAAATAAAAATATTAATATACAAAATAGATAAAGCCGGCCCTGTGGTGTATCGCATCAATATTTGAAACCCGGCCCCTATGTCAGGCGTGCAACGCATGCCTCAATAGATGGCCTACCACTTCATTTTCACGTGGGGGCTTTGCCCATTTACTTTCGCCATCCTCCAAGCTTTGCTTGCGTGAGCTTATGAGTATATTATATAATATATATAATACAATAATATAATATTGCGACGCACGCTGCCCTCTGCAATGATCAATTGTTGCCTGGTTTCCTGTTAAATTAGTATCTATATAAATTCAATCCAATATAAATATCAGTATCAGTATCAACCCACTAATCAATCAATATTAATACTAATATCAATATCTATAATGCCAATATCAACATCAACATTAATACCAACTATATTACCATCAATACCAATACCAATACGATTATATCAATATCAATCAATCAATTAATTTATTAATTAATTAATTAATCACTTTATGTAAATACCAATCTTCAAAATAGAGCCGGCCCTGTAGTGTATATAGTGGAATGCGGCCTTATGGCCTGCTTGGCTCTTGAGTTCTGTGTATTAGTTTGGCTTTGATTTATGGGTGTGACCCTAAATTTATTTATGATAAATTTTTGTCTTCTTGCTTGAATTGGTTTATTTACTTACGCCTTTTACACTGGTTGTTTACGTTTGTCTACTATGAGAAAATTAGGTTGTTTATTTAACAGTTACGGAAATGTTCTTATTATTTTTTTAAAATTTAATTTTTAAGACGAATAGAATTCTTAGATTTTTTTGCAACATTGTGAAATGCTTATATAAACATTTAACGATTATACGGTAAGACATGCAATTAGAAGAATTACTTAGCTTGATTATTAGGCTATAAACCTGATGCTTTGTCTTTCGCGGGGTGGCCTTCTCCTGCAGGTTTTTGCATAGAAAAAGGATATTTTTGGAACGCTCCGATCCAGGTGCGCCGGTTGACTTATCGTTGTTGCCTAGCCTCAATTAGGTACTTATTCACTTGCACACTTTTACGGCGTTATCTCACAATTTTCGCACTTCTTGCACTTGTTTGTTTATTTATGTATTTATTTATTATTTATTAACGATTACCGATATTTCCGGATACTTTGTTTCGTTTTTGGTACTTTACGTTTGTATCGTATACGCCACTTAGGAGGGATCTTGACGCATCCGACCTCTTCGAGTGTCAAGACGGTACCCCAAATTTGGGGTAAGTGTGTAACAAAATTACTTCTAAAGTAAAATCGTTTTAAATTTCATAAAATAAATAAGTTTATTAACTTAAAATTATAAAGCCATGCAAATCAGAGTGTTAAACACATAAGATATTTTTGTTATTACTGCAAAGCCTATTTATTTATTTATTAAAAAATTATTAGAAAAGAGGTCAGCATCGAAGGAAATTATAAAAAAAAATTGAAGGTAAGTAAGTTGTTATTGATATACCACCCATTTTTAAATTTAGCGTCGCATTTACGTGTAGGTAGGTAGGTTTATTGTTTAAATATTTACTATTATGCATTAAGAATGCCTTAAAATTATGAATTCATGAATAATAGTTATTTATGTCATTAGGTTAAGAAGTAGGGCTTTTTGTGCTAAGCTCAAGGTTTGAAGGCCGACGCGTAGCGGAGGCCTACAATTGAGCGAAGCACAAAAAGGCACTTCTTGGCCGAATGGCATACAACATTTTATCTTCAAAGCACTTTATATAGGTCAATTTAATTCAACATCAAAGCGGCCTAACCTCACTTTTTTAGAATCTCATTTATTTATTAGCTAAAGATTACATTAAATGTACAATAATTATTATTGCTTTTAGAAGCAGTAATAGTTTGACAATACCTAGCAACATGAATTAAGTAGAAATGGATTTTTGCTATTAAATTGAATTCAATTAATTGTTTAATAAATAGGTAGGTATCTAATTTCAATTTGTTTGGATTTTTATTTAAAAAATAGGTAGTTTGGAATGTTTAAGCTGTGTTTAACATTTTATTTCACTGTAAACTTAAAGCAAATTAAAACTTAAAGATAATTTAAATCGTAGAAAAAGAATCGTGTGTTTTCTTGCAAACCATGGTTGCGTAACCTCACTTTTTGTTTTATTATTCATATTTAATTTTACAATAATTTAATGAAAAATATCAAACATTAACAGTAAAACAAACAAATTAGTGCTTATTATAAATAAATTAAACCAGTTCAGTACGTTAATTTCTTAGAAAAGGATTAATTTGTCAAAACAATACCCCTAGCGAGAAAAAATCGAACTAATTACTTGCCTCATAAAATTTTTTATCGGCCTAGGCCATAACAAGGTATTTCTTTATCGAATGTTGACCACAATAAAGTTTAAATTATAGACCGCGTGGAGATAAAATAATATGTTTGCCTTTAAGAGTTTTTAATAGAACGTATCCTTCTACATACACCGCCCGTCAAAATTAACGCATAATAAGTAAAAAAATCCTAACTCTAAAACACCTTTACCAATCTTTATGAAATTTTGTATAAAAGTACTTCAACTTATATCTCAGTTTACGTGTTCAAGGGTTTTTCGAAAAAATATCCTTAAAGCACTTTTATTTAATAATAAAAATCGCTCGAAAAAAAACTTTTATAGGGAAATTTTTTTTGTAAATAAAAACTATATTGTGAAAGACCGTATTTTTTTTAGTATACCCTGAAAATTTTGTAAAAATCAAACGAACAGTAACCAAAATACAGCGCTTCAAAGTCGTCAAAAATGTACATTTTTCAGCAAAATAATCATTTTTACCGACTTATCTTTGTTTCTGTTCGTTTGATTTGCACAAAATTTTCAGGGTATACTAACAAAAATACGGTCTTTAACAGCATATTTTTTATTTAGTTAAAAAAAATCCCTAAAAGTTATTTTTTGAACGATTTTTATTATTTAATAAAAGGGCTTCAAAAATATTTTCCCGAAAAAACCTCGAACACGTTAACTGAGATACCTATAAGTTGAAGTATTTTTATACAAAATTTCGTAAAGATTGGTAAAGGCGTTTTAGAGTTATAATTTTCTTACTTATTATGCGTTAATTTTGACGGGCAGTGTATAATAGAAGTTTTATGTATGTGTATCTTTTTTATTTAAGGATCTACAAGGTCACTTAAATAAGAGAAAAAATTGCGTAATTACAAGACTATTAAAATGGCATTTTAAAATTTAAAAAATCTACTGTTCTCAAATAATTTGAAATAAACTAAAAACTAAACTAAAAAACAAGACTCGTTATAATTTTGTTATATCAAGCAATTTTAAAAATGTAAATTTGTCATGTTAACATACGCATTTATCAACATTTTCATCCAATTTAGGATTTTTTTCGCCTACTTGATTTTGAGTTACCAAACTCATCTTTTGTTTTTCCTGGCCGCCATATTGGAA